AGGATATGATAGCATTATTTTGTTCAAATTAAAGTAGATTGTGAATGAATACATATGCATAATTTTTCTCTTGACCATTAAATGAGCTAGTAAAATCCAAAAGAATAAAAGGACTTATTTTCAGGGTAAAAAATGGGAATTAGTTTTGACAGGCTCTGTAATTAATAAAATAAGTTAATAAAAGTGATGCATGAATTAAAATTATTGATTTTTGAAATGAAGTAGTTTAGTTTTGTAATTTTTTTAAGTAAAGCTTTTATCAAAGTCTGTAAAACAAAATTATTCACATTTTGCATATTTTTGTTTTAATTGTCCACCCACAATCAATGCTGTTTTCCGTTACTTAATCTGTATGCTTCCTTTGTTGGCAGTTTCAAAATTCTCAATATGAAAGTAGGTTGAATTAATGTCCATCGATTAAATATAATAAGTTATGGTTTAAAAGCTACTCAAGTATAAATATATAGATAGAAGAAGTGCTTTAAATGATGTCAATTTCATCTAAACTTGAATGCAAATTATACAACTTATGAAAGCAAATATTTAAAGGTGTTCACTAGTAGATAAGTAAAATACCTATTGTTTATTATCAATAATAGTCTATGAAGGATACATCTAAAATTCAATACAATATTTTGTTTTCATTAGTCATTTAAATCAAACCAAAACTTTAAAGTATTAAAGGAAATTTTATTGCAGTAGTGCACCATTATATAAAACCAGAAATTACACTGTTGTTATTTTGTTATATCTCTAGATTGATTGATTCCTATCCATAACTGTATCCATAACTGGCATCTCATTAAATCCCTTTATAATAAATTTAATAATTAAAATAATTAGATATTCATTTAGTGTTTATCACAAAAATAAATGCAAGATATTTCCTTGGTACTCAATTTTTATTCAGTTGTACTTCTTAATGTACTGGCTTTCTTGGAGCAGAATCTCTATTTTCAGCTGTTCTTACTAGATGTTAGAATGTCATATCTTAATATGATTCAAAATGGATTTTCTGTTCATACTTGACATTTTATTTATTCCACTGATATATAATCAGTGATATATAATGAATCATGTACGGCTTTATTTTATGATTAAATTGATATGACCTTTCCAAACCAGGAAATGTATCCTATTTAATTGTCTGTAGAAAATTGGAATTTTATTGTATCTGCATTTCGTTTAAAATATCTCTTTCATAACGAATCTTGTTTTTGAATCTCAGTGGAATGGAAAGTAACAGAAGTAAATTTTCATGTAGGTCTTATCATTGAAAGTAGAAACCATGAAATTCTAATATAACAATAGCTGTCTATTGAAATGTAATGTTTAAATTCACTGAACTTTGAAAGAATTGAGGTCAGGTGAATATTTTAAAATATTTAATTGTTTCAACATTTGATTTGCAAAACGCTAAACTATTTTTGGGATGCATTTGAATTGACAGCATTTATAGAGCAAAGAAGTAGGTTTTATACTTGATAAGTCAAAATTTAAATTTGTGAATATATGATATTTTTGGAAATGCATCTTGTAAGTGTTGTTTTTTCCTGAAAACTTATGTTCATTGAATCATAGATATTAATATTTTTATAGCTATATTTTTTAAAGTAATATTATTTAAGTGTAGCTCAAAGGCTTTCACCTCACTAGGTAAATTAGAAATTAGTTTCAGATATACTTAACATCAAGTGTGAGGTGTTGCTTGCAAGGGAGCTGACATTTAACATTCTTTTACACTTTCAAGAAGTTATTATCCTGTTAATAAATATTTCATTTCCTGAGTTTTTACTAGGCACTACTGATGAATAAATTTGCAGTTCATTTTATGCTTTTTCAATATAAGCATCTCTCATTTAAAAGTATATGCTTTATAACTGCTGTTTGTTTATTTGAAGTTCTCCCTCCCATTTATAATGCCCATTTGAAGTATAAATTACATGTTTATAGTAACAGCTGTGACAAAGTATATCCCCTTGAAGAAGAAAACCTCTTGTATATAAATTGTCCTTTTGAAATTATTTAAACATTTTATTACATATTTGTAAATGCACTTTCGGCAAATACAACATATTTGAATAGCAAATTTAAAATGCCTTTTCCTCCCACACTATTATTTATGATGTTCTAGTGTAATGTAGGATATAGTTTTATATTGCCTAGAATAAAAGAAAATATATTTGCTTGAAAGAAAATGATTGCTAATTATCTGTGCCAATAATATTTCATATAGACAGACAGAGAGCTTAACACCAAAATTGTTTTAGAAATGAGATCCAAATTACACATTATTTACAGGCTGAGACAAAAAAAAAATGCCCTTTTATAAAACTGTAAAATCTGAGTAAAACATGAATTTTGTAATGCATACCTCGTAAAATGCTTGCTGTATTTACAAATGTACATAAATATTAATCAAAAGGTACCCACTGATAAAAGTAAAATTGTGTTTTAAAATATTTTAAATTGAATTATTTCATTGAATCCGAAGTCCTCCCCTCTCATCTTCTTATACCTATATTAAGGGAAGTATATACTGTGATGAGCACATTCCTATCTCTGGTGTGATACATTCACAGATATTCATATCTCAACATTATACAAAAGCATTGAGAAACAGTTTACTTTTTCACTTTGCTGTCTGAAAAATTTAATTTAAGTGTAACAGTTTTCTGTATTGTGATGTAGGGTTTTTATGAAATCAGTATGTGATTAGTTTTTGTAGAGATATCTTTTTTATTTACTTAATTTCTTTTTTAAATTATTGCAGGTATTGAATCTTTGACATTTTCATAACATACTTATATAGATACCTCTGGCCTTATATATAAATAATATTTTTATGAACCTCTTTTTAAAGAAACTATGAAAACATTCTTGAAGGTTTAAATAAGTGGACCAGTAGTTAAATGCCTAATACAAAACATTTGTTTTAAGGAAACTTGAAAAGGTTATGAGAAATAAAATTTATAGCTACAATTGAGTGAATTTTGATTATGCAGATATGCTTTAATTCTAATAAATTTCTACAAATTATGTCATTGTATCAAGTCTCATGGTTTAATTTCATTGTTTCTCTGCAACTGATAAATCCAAGCAGTTGAAGTTAAAAGTAGTTTCCATAAATATCTCATATCAGAGGGTAAGTGTCACCATATATTGAGTGATCACCAATTTACCCTATAAACATTTGTTGTTTTGAAAGCATATTTTTCTCATGTGATGTGCCATTGCTTCTGTGAAAACCATTAAAGCAGTGGTAACTATATGTATACTTTAATATTCATTATTTAAACTGTTCTATGTAAAATAGAATGACTGATATTGGTCTTATGTAAGACTTGTTCTTATTCATTGAAAATTGGTATATTTATTAAAGACTGTGTTGCATTGTACATGTTATTGTAAATCAATAACCCTTTAAAAATCTTTCCATGTATATTAATTTTAATTTGCTTTTGTACATGCTCTTTTAAGGTTTTCAGCATGTAAATCACTTGTAAGAGAAAACATGTTTTGTTTAGTCAAATAGCCATCTTTTTTTTTTTTTTTTTTTTCCAAAGCATTTCTGTAAAAATGATTTGTATATATAAAGTTTATGAATTTGATTTCTGTCTTTTAATTTTTCTCTCTTATTCGTACATTATTTTTGCATTTCATTCAGTTGCATACGATGGGTTTATATAAATTTCTACTGTGTTTTCAAATCTTAATGCATGCTAAAACAAATATTTCATAAAATTAGATGTAATTAAGAAAATGTTTATTATATAAGGTAGGAATTTTAACTTGGAGGGGATTCAATATGGAGATTTATTCAGCCGCAGATTGATATGCTCCAATTCTTGTCAAAAGGCAAAGTTTTCCTATGATTGCAGCTATGAGAACCAAAAGAGTTAAATAATTGAAACTTAAATATATTATGTAAGCACATTTGAAACCTTTAGAACATTTTATTATTTATATTAAATATATTTAATAACACATGTTATTAAATATATTTAATCTTAAATTTATGGATCTATCAATTACCATATTCTAACAGAAGTTTGTTATCGTGAAACAAAATATTTTTATTTTGCATGGTATTTGGTATACATTACTTGACATAAAGAAATCTGTGGATGAGAAGTGAAATTTTTTTTTTTTTGGCATATAGTGTAAAAGGGAAATAGAACAAAAACAATTCAGAATCATTGATAAAGAAGATTTAGTTGTGTAAAAAAAGCTGTAAAAGTCACTGAGAGACGAAATTTAGTTATTTTACATATAATTAAAAAGAATAAGAAATATGTTTGGAAAACTAGAATCTATATATTCAGCTGATGTTTAATGTTTTCATATTATCACATGCTACTCTAACATTGTTTCGAGATTCCTTGAAGAGCAATTGAAATTGATATTGTTGAATATGTAAATACTTTATCTTGCAGAAGAGTTGTGCCATGTGTTATCTACTATATTAAAACTAGATGGAAATTTATGTTTAGAGTTTACAAATTACGTTATATTCCCAATTCTTTCGTTTTATATTCCCAATTCTTTCTTAAGGAAGGGACCAAGTGCATGGCTATGAAATTATATGATTTTATTATTTATCTGTTGAAGATGTGATGATCCATTTAAAAACATTTTTTAACGAAACGTCGACGCTTTCTTCCCTCAAAGTATTTCATATTTCTTCACATCTGTAAGAGAAATAAATGCCTTGAAAATTAAGAAATTTGTTACTACAAAATATACCGAGATAGTGTATATTTTAAATATCGGAAATTACACTTCACAACAAAAATTAATTTTAATAAACAAAAAGATTTTCCATTTGTATTTTGTGTTTTAATAAAATTTTGCATATTTTTAAAGATAGGTTTCTTTACAATATGGGGAAAAAAAAAAGCAAGTTTAAGGCAACTAATGGAGAAAAATTGCACTGTGAAAAGCAGAAAGAGAAAAATATGAAAGAAATACTCTTCTAAAGTAATGTAAATGCTGATGTGTAAAGGGTGCTTTCCAACTAGGACTTTAAAGAAAATTTTACCCGAGTTTGAAATTGTGGCATCAAGTACTACTTTCTTGTTAATCATTTTCAACAAACGAAACTCGCCAAAATGTGCGATTTAGTGCCAAAAATGGGTAAACGAAATATCGCAACGCATTCATTGGATCTTCGCCTTGCTTTTAGGCAAACCTTATTAATCCTCGATAAGCCATTCAAGTTTAGTTGATTACGGGAAAGCACACTAGGGTTATTTCCCTAAGGGAAGAGATGCCTTCGTGGAGGACTTTCTAAGGAAAACTGGCTGGTATACACGTAACACATGGGGAAAACTCCCATTCGCTTGGAATCAAACCTAAGTCGGAATTACCAGTGTTTCGCATAAGCCAGTCAGAGCTGGATTAAACATTTAGCAAAATAAGCAGGTGCTTAAGGCATTAAGGTTGGGGGGCACCACAAAAAACTTTCATTGTTAATCATGGAATGTGAGGTAGAGCTAAACGAAGACCGAGCGAGAAGAAATTTGGAAAAACAGTCTTAAACTGTAAATGTATTATGTGGGGTCACTAAAATCTTTTAGTTGGTTAGGGCAACTAAAATGCTTTTCCAGCCCTGAAACCAGTTCATCTGCAAATTTTCTAATTAAATAAAAGTGAACTGTTCCTTCCAAGCTCTGCCAAAATGATTGGCACAAGTTTAATATTTATGCTTAATATGTATCTGGTGATTATGCAAATAAACAAAGGGAGAATTTACCTTCAAATCTCGTTGCCGCAAGTTTGGCAAGACTCGGCCAACTTCCACAGTCGAGGAGAAAATATGCAACTATTGAAATGTAAAGGCTTAGGGCACGATGTGCGATAACCTGACGCTGCTTCTTAGCATCAGGAGCAAATTGAGTCTCCAGAACAGCCCAAATATTTACCTTTTTTAATGCTGCCTAGGTGCATTAAAAAAAGTAGGCTTTAAATGTTCCAGTATTGCTTTTTATTAAAATGCACTATTTCCTTCAAAAAGCGGATGGAATATTGAAAATAGAAAATTGTGAATAAGAACTGACTCTAAAAATGCTTTTGCACTTCTACTCTGGTTGAATATTTTAATTTAAATTTCCATTTCAGTGCATGTTTTAATTTTTTTTGGTCTATTTTGCCCCCACTGCTCTGTTGTCATTCTGCGATGTTCACGGGCCCAATTGAAAAGTCCTCTGACATGCGATGAGAACAAAATACAAACCACAGGTTGATCGGGCGTACCGTCCACCTTCATGCAGTTGACCCAACACAGTTTCCCGGGATATGAACCGTTCAGCAGCAACAGAAAGATGCGAAAAGCAACAGCTTTAAAAAAATATATATATATGTTACGGTGAAACACCGAAATCTGGAGAATATCGACTTTCACCGGTGAATGTCAACATTCACATAGTCTCTTGGTGTATGTCCGAAATACTTTCCAAATACTCTTATTTTCTGACTTACACCGGTGATGTCGACATTCACTATGTACTAATGGTGAATGTTGAACATATAAGAATATTATATTTCCTTCTCCGTAATTCATTCGCGAAAAAACGCACTTGAGACTCAGAATAAGAACTTAAGAATATAAGAACTTAAAACACACAGTACATTCAAAATGAGAAAGGAAAATAATAGGAGTTATAAACTTACCAAATTATGTGATTCAAATCTTATTTATTGCAACAATTTAACCTATTATGACACTTTGAATTGCACAAGAGGCCCTTGCTTTTACAACTGCATTTTATTTGTGGTTTGTATTAACACTTCCTTTTGGAATGGCAGCGTGTACATATACTCCTCTCTTTTCGACCTACACCAGAGCATATCTGTGATTGTCGACATACATCGGTGAGGGTCCGAATGTACAAGAATGTAAAGAAATATTCGATCTTTCACTGACGTATTTGGTGAATGTTGACATTCTCCGGTGAAAGTCGACATTCTCCAGTTTCGGTCTTTCACGGTAACATATATATATATAAATTTTTATGTTAATCCTCTTAGAAAGAATGTTTTAAGTAGCTAATTTTCTCTCGTATTGTAATTAAAAAGTCATGATTTTTTAATATGGAAATTTTAGGCTTAAATATCTAAGTAATTGATTTAGATTGTTTTGCAGCCGATATAATAATCGGGTTTCTCGGTGGTACAGAATAAACACTGCTGGACTGTTTTATTTCTTTGTCATTTAGCAAAAAATCTTTTAGTTAAAATATTTATCCTCTGGACTTTGCTTTAAACTTTATTTATAGTTAAAATGTCTAGAAAATGAAAAAGTGTCTTCAGCTGGAAACGCAATTGATGTAATTGATATTTTAAAAAATTTGACAAGAATGCAAAATTTATGGAAGTGTAACAATTGAAAAATCTTAATTTTCTTGTGTGAGCACTAAAAATAAATGTAGAAGGAAAGAAGAAAATAAAATAAGCAAAAATTTGAAGGAGAATTTGGCGTCAGAAATACCAAGGTGTTTCGAAAAGTTGGACGGTTTTGTATATACTTGCAGAATGCCTGAAGAAAAAAAGCAAGCCATTAAGAAGAAAAAAATAATTTTTTGCATAAAATTTAGTATTTTTTTAAAAATTTAAAACATTTAAATCTTATGATATTTGATTCTTGTGATTTCAAACACAAAATATTTAACTAAAATATGAATAACATTTTAAGAAACTAAATGTAGGATGATAAAATTGTGTAAAGCAATGTGTAAAGCTGTTTAAATTATGTAAAGCTGTTTAAAGCAATAAATGCAAGTCATCCTAAGTTAAAATGTCGGTTATACATCTTTCTCATTTAATATATCTTTTCTGAATGGAACATTGAAAGACGTGTTAACTGTGCTTTATTGTATTTTCTCTTTTAATATATACAGTTTTCAAATGCATCGTAGTCTGGGTCACAAAGTATTCTTCCGAAAGAAACGTAATTCAAATAAATAAAATCAAATTCTGGAAAATTTATATTAATAAATATATTTAAATTGCTCAGTTCGAAGGAATAAATGGAAACTTTTAAAACAATTATCTGAAGAGACAATGCAACACAAACAATTAAAATAAAAATCCAAAAATTTAAAAATTACCTAAAATAATAATTATACCAAAAATAAATTATAAAGAAAACTATTTGAAAAAAAAAAAAAATAATCGATGCACCTTTTATTTAAAACTACGTAGTTCAAATGAGTAAATAGAAATTTTTAAAACAGTTATTCGAAAGTAACCATGCAACTTAAACAATTAAAATGAAATTCGAAAAAAAAATACTTAAAATAATAACAATTATAATTAAAATATAATATAAAGAACATTATTTGAAAAAAGGGAACGATTGTCACCTTTTCCACGATGCGAAAAGAAAAATAGGTTGCCATATATTAAGAAGTTGGCCAAGTGGGCGAACTTCTTAATATATGGCAACCTATTTTCTTAATATTCTTGGTATTCTTGGCTCAAACTGAAATGATTCTTGATATTCTAGGCTCAAACTGAAAAAAAAAGCGCCAACATAAATTTGTGAATTTCTCTGTAAATTTTGCACCAAATTTTACAAAATTTCATATTTAGTCGTAGAATTTGAGTCGTGGAATAGAAATATGGAAAAAATTGTATGTTATTTCAGAAAAAATCCGATTTTGTGTCAAAATACCTATGTTAGAATAGATCTATATATAACTCTAATATATATCCTAAATCGCGCTTTTGAGACATTAAAAAAAGCAATTTGAATTTTGCCAATCGGCCCAGTAGAACGGGAGATGTACAACGTTTTTTTTTTTTTTTTTCCGTCCCCTGCGGTGTACATCTCTAATGACTGGAAAGCTAAAACCTTTATTTATTAAAAACTCTGTTTATCACAGTTCTAATTTTTTATTATTAACAGTTGGTATACCATTGATTACGTTAGATGACTCTGAATTAAGGAGGTATTGTAAAGACGAATTTATATATCAGTATTTACCTGCAGGTTTCAGAATTAAAATAAAATCCTGTTGAGCATGTTAAACTATGTCGGCATTCACATGAACAGTTTCTGTTGTTCCAAATTTTAGAATAACCTTGGCATGCAACTTGTTGGTCCAGATTTTTACAGACACATCTGCATTCTTGATTTCGGTATTCGTGTACATTAGGTGTGCAATCCTTTTCCAATTCCGTGCAATCACATCCACATCTATCATGTTGTTCCAAGGTAAAGATACGAGTACCGCGCATTTCAAAAGTTCGTAGTGTGTCTGAAGGAGTGAAAGTGAAGAATGGAATCTGAAATATAATTAGCCATATGACATTATATAACACATTGAAGAAATTTTACATAGTATAAGCTAAAAAAATTCTGTAAACAACTGAGCGTTTAAAAGTGAGCAGTTTAAGTTTAATTCATTTTAAAACAATGAAAAGTTAATTATTTTACTTTCACTGCATTTAATTTTCTGTTGAAACTGGGTATGAATTACTTATTCTTTCCGTAAGGAGTGAAGGTTTTATGCTTTTCCTTGTTTTACGTTTTTTTCTAATATTAATATCAATCAAAATAAAACATTTTGAAAAAAAAATGGCTTTTTGTCATGCATTGAAATATTTTACTGGTGTACAGAGTTAATGACTAACTTTAGCAGTTCAATATTACTTTTAGTGTTTTACTTGAGTGTGCTGTATTTTCGTATAAAGTTCCGGTTTTGTGCCATTAAAACCGAATTAACCAACCTACATATAATTTCATATTATTCACTTTACAAGCCGTTGCGTTCTGGCAAAAACGAATGAAGAAAAATCACGGCATCTGCATTATTTTTAATAAAACTATTAGTAAAATGTACAAGATTTACGAACTGATGATATTCAGGGAATGCAGTATTATTTTCTATGGAAACAGCTGGAGTGTGAACTGCAATCATGTAGGATTTACACCTAGCCTATAAGGATTTCAAATCTGATAGCTTTGATGGCACTGGAGAAGAGACTATTGCCACTCAGTTTTTTGTTTCTCATTTCTCCCGAAATTTTAGCACTCACAAGGAAGGTTTTCCAACCTTAAACTTGAAGTTTTGCTCAAAAATTGTACACGAATCTACTCATCTAAAAATACGTAACAGTAAAAACAAGAGCTGCTAATATGCTACAGATAATCGAAACAAAATTATGAAATAAATTCTTAACAATGGACACACTTTCATATTTCGTAAAATCTCAATAAAGAGTTCTGCCTCGTCGAATATAATTAAATTTACATATTTTCACTTTTTTTTCCCCCATCGATTTAGCAGTTAAATTTTTTTAATGTTATATTCTTCGTAATGAAGAAAAGCATTAGTAGATCTCTACGCAATATTCTTTTTCAAAGAATTTCACCATTTATCGAAAACGATTTCTTATTGTTTCAGCAAAACTGCAATCTATTGAACTTAAAGCTGACACTAAAGAAGAAAAAATGCCGCCCTGTTAAAATTAACTGTCGAATTTCTATAGATGATATAAAAACGAAGAAACAAAAAGGAAATAAAAATTTTAGTTACCAAAGACAAATTTTCTCTCAGGATCTGCTGCATTTTAAGAATTCTTTCATCATTTCAGTAGTCTTAAATCAAACCAACACACTTTATATTAAAAAAAAAAAAAAAAAAAAAAAAATAGACGCACCAAGAAGGAGTTGTCCCCTGGAGACAGAAATTGGTGGATAAGATTACAGAAGAGATTTAAAATTTCAGAACAGTTGAATGATTTATTTCAGAGTTACATAGTTACAAAGTAACGAGCTCAATCAGGTGTTGACTCACTGTAGCCTGGATGCAAGGTGCCACACGGCGCGGCATAGACTGATAACGCTCTCGGATGGTCTCCTGCGGTATTTCTTGCCAAATTTGCTCCAATTGCCGGGCTAAGTCATCAGCATTCCTTGTTAGATGCAGTCGCCTTCGATCATATACCAAACATGCTCAATGGGAAAGAGATATGGCGATCTGGCTGGCCAAGAACGTGTTTGACAAGCTGTAAGACAATTCATAGCAACACGTGCCGCGGGTCTAGGACTTTTCGTCGGCGCCGTTTCGCCGTCAAGACATATTTTTCTTTACATGACTGTATTTTATCTTGTCGTATTATATTCGTATTAAATTTATTTAGTTTAATAATTCTGTTTACCTTTTACATACTTAATAAAGGTTGCTTTTAATATATATATAGTTAAGACATAATAACACGCCGAGCAAATACTAATTCAGAAGTCAAACAACAAAAATCAGCGTTATATTTTCAAAATTTTCACAGGACTAGTTTCAATGGTTTTATCGAACCACCATCCTCAGCTGCAAAACCGCAAATGAACAAGATAGGAAATAATGATTAGATAAGAATGGGAAATGCCTCTAGAAAATCCAGTTCTCCAATGCAAGATGTTTTTTGAATAATTTTGGCAGCAGAAAAATTGAAAGTGTGATTTTCGGACCAACAATGTTGAGCAACAGAAGACTTCTGTGTTTCCTTTTTCCTAACATATGCCTCATGTTCCTTGACGCGAAATTTTAAGGCTCGCTCAGTTTGGCCAGTGTAAATTAAACCACACTGGCAAGGAATCCTATAAATACCCCAGGAATTCATATCCGGATCGCATATTTCACAAGTGCACATCAGCGTAGCCACTGGGGGAGGGGTATCGAAAATGGACCAATGAGCTGCTATTGCTCTTGTGACGCCTAAATCTTCGTGCATGTGAGCATATGTTGTTTAGGTTTTAATTTGCATTTGTTTCGTAGTTATAAATATATGGCATAATAGTAGAAATCCTATAATACCTTCGTTTTCTGAGTTTAATTAATCGCTGACATTTCACTTTCGCGATTTTTATCACTTATTAATATTTGGATTGATGTTCACGGCATATTATGTGGATTAAGAGAATTCAAGTGTATATTTTTTAACTCAGCTGAGAATGACTGAAAGGGTTACAATGAATCTAGTGTTTTCTTATTTCAGTGCTTGTATTCTTTTGATTTTTAAAGTGAAAGCTTCAGAATAAATATGATCTGATTATATCCATTGCTAACATGAAAAATTATATGTCAATAAATTGAATATATTCGTTGTGAATAAGATAAATTCACTCTGTTTGATGAGTATTTCTTGTGTAGACATCACATTTAAGAATGAGCGTTTATTAAATGTGAAATTTAACACACTAAATGTATAGGAATGCAAATTAGTAAAGTTCACTTTGAATAAAATTCTGCATTGGTTATTATTATAGAACATCTCTTTCATATAGACTGAAATAAAAAGTGCTGACTTCTATTTACATATGTAATTGGTGTAAATATTTTTCTTATACGCATAGTTTTATGTAAAGATTGCATTTGGGCTCAGATGTTTATCACATATTCCTTTCTTCATCTTATTTACCACTTATTAAGTAATATTTCTCATCGATATGTTTGCGAAGTATCCGACATGTGTTTATTTCAACCAGGTAGTGAAATCTTCATAATTTTCTATATTTGATCTAACTTCGCAATGAAAAGTTTCAGGAGCAATCGACGATGCTTTAATTACTTTGTACAGAAAATTGCGTAGCAGAATATTTTCAACCATCTTGCTTAACGAAAGGTCATGTGACATGACAGAAATATTACTGGATGCTCATTGGTCCATCCTAGAAGCCACTCCCTCGGTGGCTACACAGATGTGCACTTGTGAAATATGCATCCGGATCGGGGTCCTTGAGTATGGAACTTGGAATTTTATTGATGGGAGAATAAAACTTCAAAATCAAAATTCACATTCAAAACAATCTTTCTGTTCTAGTTAACGATCCTAATTCCAATCCATCTTTGCCTTCGGCCTTTAAAGAAATTATGTTTTAGTTCTGGTTTCACTAACAGATCGCGCCACTTGCTTATTCTTGCCCAGGCTTTCTTATCTTATCTAATCATTATTTTCTATCTTGTTCATTGCGGTTTTGCAGCTGAGGATGGTGGTTCGGTAAAATCATCGAAACTAGTCCTGTGAAAATTTTGAAAATGTAATGCTGATTTTTGTTGTTTGACCTCTGAATTAATATATATAGTTATTTGCAAGTATGAGATATAAAGAAATTACACATAGTTAGTTGGAAAATTATGTCAGTATCAAAGAGAACTGGGGCTAAACTTCTGATATAACAGAAGTTATATTATCGATTTTAAAATTATGCGGGTACAATATTTACATGATTCGTCAAAACTTCTTGAAAGTTTAATCGGCTAGTTCAGAGAACTCCCTCATACAAAGCAGGAAATTCTCATTTTTATGCTATCTGAATGGAAAACGGAATTACTTTGGAATTTTGTCAGCACCTTACCTTTTAAAATTAATATGTCATGTGTAACGGTGTATTTGTATAAAATAGTACATAAAAAATTTATATATTATTTTATATAAAATGTTTATTAAATTAAATTATTAAACTGACCAGAGTTAATAATTTAAATCAATTTAATATAATACAGCAAGTTATAATACAGTCGTGTAAAGAAAAATATGTCTTGCCGACGAAACGTCCCGACGGCGAAATGGCCACGGCGAATAGTTTCATTCCCTTCCGTATGAGATCTGGCATTATCTTGCTGAAAAATAAGGCCAGGGTACTGCAAAATGAAAAGTAGGAACACAGGTCTCAATGTCGTCGACGTACCGCTGTGCTGTAAAGTGTGGCTTGAATGACGACCAAAGGGGTCCGGCTATCAAGGGAAATTGCTCCCCTGACCATAACTTCTGGTTAAGGGACTGTGTGGCATGCAGTAGTGAAAGAAGGATCGATACGCTGCTCTGCGCATCTCCAGACACGTCTTTGATGATCAGACAGGTACAGGTACAGGTACAGGTAGAAGTAGGCCAGCACCTCCGTAGTACCCCAGCTAATTGAGGTACTGCTGAACCTAGCTAACTGTTAAACTTTCTACCCCAATTTTGAGGGAGAACACCCCGGGGGGTCCGTGTATCTCATGCCCCTCTTTTTTACAATCAACCCCTTCCCTTGAGAGGACTTTAGGAGCTATTTGATTTCTGGTATTAATAGTGTACACAAATCATACTGAGAAAAGACTGTCCTTGAAAAGTTCAACAACTGATGCTTCCAAAAGTCTAAATGTATGAATAAATGTCCTTTCTAAGGCGAAAGGTGTAATAAGCAAGACTTTGGAGATCCCGTCCATCAGCATTGCATAGAAAAATGAAATTATTCGAACAATAAATTAAAAAAATTAAATAAATATATTTTAGTAATATATAGA